TTGTATACTAATAAATAAATACATATAATAAGTAAACCTATTGTTCATTTTAAATAATATTAATGCACAAATGATGTATGAGTGTATGGCGTAAGGCAGCGGTTCCCAAACTTTTTTAGCTCACGGCGCCCTTTTTGAACTGAACTTTTCTCAAGGCACCCTTCCCAAGACATAGCATGAATTTATTTTTGGACCAGGTAAATTTCTACGGCGACGCGGCACCCCTGAAAAGACATCGAGGCGCACAGTTTGGGAACCGCTGGCGTAAGGTGAAAGTAATGGCTGAGGGAAAAACGATGCATAACCCAAAAGTCTGACGATTCGCAACTGTCTTACAATAAAGGTCAAAATTAACAATAGTGATGCACAAACGACAACCAACGACGCATAATATCGTTAAATCGATTTCGTTTTTCTTTTGTTTTAAATGTATCTCCGCCAAAGGCCGTTATTCTAGGTCAATTTGCCCATAATTTAAAGGTACACATTGTACTTTTGCCGGAATAATTCGTTTATACGTAATATTATATTGTCTAATCTTACTGACCTAACTATACCACGGTATACACGTCGACCAAATGCAGACTCTATATATCGGTTTTCAACAACGTTCGAACAATTCGCTCACTACCAAGTCTTTTTTTTTTTGTCAAAAACTACTGTTTCTAATTCCAACGATACGTGTCGACAATTATCACGATTTTCATTCTGAAAAGACATTCTGATTGTCCATAGAATATACAAGGGAACGATCGAGCCACATTTTTAATTTTTGTAATTTAAATTGCAATAAAAATTGTAAAAAAATCAAAAAAAAATACAGAATTTCCAACTTAAATATTTAATTAACTAAATACAATTTTAAAAATGCGCCTCGATCGATCCCTCGTATATGTTGTGGAAAATAAGAATATTTTGTCAGAATGAAAATTGAGGTGATCGTTGCGACGTACTGTTGGAATTAGAATCGTATGTTTAAGTGAAAAATAAGCATTTTTTCATGATCACAATATTATAATATATTGACATGTGTGTGCGAGTGCGTGCGAGAGCTACAATTGACCCGCATGGACGCCACACACACTAATAATCATTTACGACTAACACATAGATCTCGGGTGGCGACGACGAGATTAGAAATTGCCTAAATGATTCTCCTTAAATCAATGCCATTGCGAGGACGCCACACAGCATTTTTAATTTACGCACGCGCACAACTCACTTAAAAACTGAATTATCGTAAAACGACTTCCACCAAAACACAGGTAATGTTCTTACCGTCAAGTTTCACGATAGGTCAATTCACTTTAGTTTTTAAGAAAACGGCATAAAACGTGAACTGCTGAGCGTACATTTAGTATGTTACTCATTTGTAAGACGGATACAATACACGTCCTCCTCTCAACATATTTTGTAGGACTATCAGCGTATTGGCACTTCATCCACCACACGTATGATCGTATAGTAACTTAATTGAACAGACCAATTACACTGGGTTGTCGCACTTTCGATTATCGTAAATCAGCAACGTGCATAATGACTTGTAATTTGTACAATCGAAGCGATCGGCAGTGAGTTGTACCATAAATGACAAACTTCCCAATTAGTGTTGCGGAGACCGCGAGAAACACGTTGTTTACATTCCGTTCGCCAAATTTGGCCAAAATCGATTAAGTCAACATAATATTCAATCGATGAACTACGCAGTTTCGAAAAACAGCAGCTACAACAACAACAACAAAAACAAAACCACCAATATGCGTGTGTAATATCTGTAGCACAGAAGTCGAGTAACGATAATCACAAAAAGCAAATTGTACAGGAGAGACAAAACAAAAATATTTGTTGCAATAGGCTCACAAAAAATACTTTTAAATTTACTTCAAAAATATTATTTTGTATTACTTTTCTTGTGTAACCTCTAGACATACGTTTCTATACTCCTATCATAGTTTAGGACTTAAATGAGTACAGGTACTATTCTTGCTATCTATGCATTTATTGTATACATATAGGACTTGCATTTTAATACCTTTAAAAAATATCACAAAAAGCATTCTCCGATTATATAACTAAAATTTTTTAGTCAAAATTTCATAAAATGGACTTGCGTTTGTTGACTCCTGTGGTACAGATATTGACATTGACGGCATCACAAGATAGAACAGTGGCGTCCGCAGGATTTTTCAATGGGGTGGGCTTGAAAATTAGTTACAATTTTATTTTAATTTTGTCCAGTCTAATAATTGCAGACGTTTATTTATGGTATTTTAAAATGTTTGTAACTTTTTAACTCTTCTGGTAGAAAAAATGCTCTGATCATAAGCTTCGATGCCCAGTGTATGTTTTTGGAAGCAAATTGGATCTAGTGAGTACTTTTAGGAGGTCGAAATTGAAAATTCTTAGTACTTTTAAAAATAATTGGAGAAAAAAAATGAAAATTTATTTAAATTGTTTGGTAGCAAGCTTGGTTATACCGTCTTAATAACTTGGATTGTATTTGATTAATTAAAATTTTTTTTCTATAAATGTCAATAAAAAATTATTCATCAGGTCAAAAAGCTTTAAAATGTAGTATGTAAGTTTTTTTATTATAGCTAAAATATTAACAATACATAGGCATCATGGTTATTTTTTATAAGCATTTAAAGTTCAAATTTCGTCAAAACCACGGTTAATTTGTAGTTCAAAACTAATAAAATATAAAATGTGTATATCTAAGGCTAGCCAATTTAATACAAGGTCTTTCATACCCATAAGTAGTTCATATTTTTACCGAAAAATTACAGATAATTTATGGAAATTGGTGTGCAAATACAATGTTTTTTCAAAAATGAATTCATTCTGGTAAGACATATATGAGATTTACTATACTTGACAGTTTAAACTTGATTAATATTTTTTTGAAAAGTAATAATAATACGGGCAATGGGGGCGGGGCTTCAGCCCGTTAGCCTCCCCCCTGCGGACGCCACTGAGATAGAATGTAAAACGTGTATTCCACGCAACTTATGAAAAACAGTACCTATCGAACTTTATAGGTATACACCACAAGACAATTTGATATTTCCACATATCTATATTATTCAAAAGTAATACATTTGGACTAGGAATTGGTGTGTTTTTTTTGCTGTTGCCACATCTAAATCTAATAAGACTACTAAAAAAATTTTAGAAGTAATGTGTAATCAACGGATTTATTTTTACGTTTTTGAGTTACAGTTAAATAACAAAATCGATTTTTTCAAATACTGGTGTTGCATACTATTCAAATTTTTCCTGAACTATTGTTAATTTTTTTTTTCAATTATTATTAAGAAAAGTTATTTTTTACCACCATTGAAGTTGAAGATCAGAGCAATTTTTCTAAAAGGTAGTGTGATAAAATTGATGAGTTGGGAAAACGGTATTTACTCTCCGATTTAGGATATTTTACTCCCCACAAAAAGCAGTTATAATTTTCAAAATAATCTTAGTACGTACGGTAATAAAATTGTTATATAATAATAATTGTTGTATTTCGTATACCTATAGATGGGTAGGTACATAATTTACGTTCTTGTGAAAATTAATGCTATTCGTTTCATCGAATATTGTAAGAACATTAACCTTGAACCCTAATAAATCTTTTTTATGGGGAATCGCAAGTTTTGTATTGAAAATAAAAGATTATCTTTTGAACTTATCATTGTCTATTGATAGACCATATTTAGTGTAGCGTATTCAAACAATAATATATTTCTAGCAAAGAACAAACAATAAAACACATACACGTACATTTTTTTAAAATTATGTTTGCATTATTCATTTTCATTTCCCCACTTCATCCCAATATATAGAAAGTAGGAGCAACCACCACGAGTACTACGATAAACTATATCTGCTAGGAATTTTTTGTGTTGGTCCCGACATGCATTTTAACGTTTATATTATAATGCCCTCCATTGTGATGTTTTTTTTAAATAGAAAAAAAAGGTCGCTATGGCATATTATACAATGAAACTACACACACAACGAATTATTTTATATAATAATATTATTCGGTGAAGCTTCTAAATATCATACAGTCTCGGGCGTTGAAATTTTTTCCGCTATTTAGAGGTTTCAGTTTCTATAAAATTTGTAGTTTTTCCTAAAAATAACGTCTACTATTTAGAGGTGTTCGCGGTTTTGAGGTGACCCTCGTATTCATTTATCACACGTTGATTACGATATCTACGTTTGTTCTTATATTAAAAACTGTTTTCTTTCGTTATGCATTAGTTCAAATTCAGATTCTTAGAATTATTTAGTAAATTAATTTTTTTTTTTGGTTTTTAATATACTGGGTCTTAAAAATTATATTTTCTTAAAACATATTTTCGATTTTTTGTGCCATTTTAAGGAGTATCCACTATATCATACGTAGCGATACTAAATTTTTCTTACAATTTAAAACTAATTTTTCTTAATTGTAAATTATTAAGCACAATATGATATTTTCGAAATTGTTGAAAAAGTATTTTCTGAGATGTTAAGCTTAATTAACTTAAAAAAATAGATCATGTTAATATATAGGTTTAGAAGATTGACCTATGATTAAATTATATTAATTAATATTAATCTACATTCTGACATTCTATAATATTATTATAAACATTTTCTTAGTACAATACATACCAATACTACCTTTTGTATGTAAAGATTTAAAATAAAAAAGTTTAATAACTCATAAACTACCTAGAAGGTACAATGGTACATGTTCTATTTCCGTTTTAGATACATAAACATTTTGAAAAAATATAATTTTCTTAACAATTTCAACAAAAAGGGTGGTTGACAATAGAAAAAATAAAGTTTTCATTGCCACAGAACACAAATTAAATGGTATAAAAACATCTAACTATTTACAAATTAGGTGTTTGTATACAGAATTTAAAACAACAAATGCACTGTCAAAAGTTAAAATGACGGCGAGACTGGTTAATCGCTACCTTTACGTAATGGTTCATAAATCGTACCTGAGATCTTCCAGCTCGTAGAACATGTCTTTCGACGAATCGTGAATGTAGATCTTGACGAGGGCCGAGTCCATGTATTCCATGGTGAGTTGTTTTGGAAAAGACCGGACGAACAGCGCCTTGACCGTGTCTATGGAGGTGATTTCGTTCGGTAACAGTGCTCTTTTCGTTTCACTACGGTATTGCAAGAATACCAGACCTAAACTCACAAGAAAAAAAAAATTGAATAAATAAATTGACATCATTGGATTTCAAAAATGAAAAAGTATACAATATGAACAGTTTGTAGACATTTTGAGTTGTTAATTATTAATTATTAATCATAGATGCATGCACACGTCGTGGGGTGATGGTTAAATATATTATGTATAAATAACATATATAGGTACAATACAGGTTTTTTTTTTAAAATTACAAGGTTTTATTTATAAATAAAAAAAAAAAATTTTAATCTACGGTTTCAAAAACAAAACAAAAACAAAGAAAATAAAACGAGGAAAAAATAGTTGTTTCTATATTACCGCGCGCTTTGGGGACAAATAGATAAAACAAGTTGGATGATAGTGATATGCCAGGAATGAATTATTTTCTAATTTTGATGTGATGTGTTTTCCTGCGCTAGTTGTCCACTACAACAATAACAGAGTATTTATCTGATAAGGGTATGTACAAACAACAACAAAAACCACAAAAATGCCTAAAAAAAAAAATGTATAAAATCTTTAACGTGAAGTAATAAAACTAAATACAAGTACATGAAAATTGTTTTCTATAAACAAATCGTGTAAATTTGTTATTTACTTTTTGCTAATTATCTATTAAAATATTGTAAAATGTTACAAAGACATTAATTTTTAAATGTTTAAGGATGATGCAAATTACGAGTTTATTAAAACGACTATTATACTGTACACGTCTTTAAAACCACTTTTATTACGTTTTATTTTAACGTAAGTATTAAAATTTATTTCTTTTTTTACGGCCTATATGGCTTGGTACCGCGGAATTAATGATAATAAGGTAACATTTATTTAAAATTTCGTTATAAACCAATCAATGTTTATTATTTGTACAAGGATATTAATTTTACTACACTCATTATTGATCAATACATTTTTGTGGTTTTGATAAATTGTAATATTAAATTCGAAGCGTTGTTATAAGTTATAATGTACTGTTTATTAATTCTCTAAAAAGTCTAATTCACTTTGTCTTCTAATACTCTGGGTTTTTAATGGTTTTAAGGCTTTTATAGGTATTTAATTTATTAAAATTAATTTAAAACAAAGGTTTTTGTAAACTTGTACAATTTTAACAATCTGTACACAATGTACAATAAAAACAATGTATCGCGTGTTTTCTACATTTACATTCCACATGATGATGAAACTAACCATTAGCACCTCCTAGTTGCTTATTGTTATTTTTGGATTGTTAGGTGGTTCCTAAACCAGGTTCTTTTAAGTTTCCTAGTTGAGATAATATAACTTGTAAGTCTAAGATGTACTACCTATATTAATAATTTATTATAAATGGTTCAGAATCAAAAACTTAAAAAAATGATTACACCCTATAATTAATATAAGCTAACCAGTGATCCGGGTATAATGATAAAATAAAGGTATACCAATATTTTTGAACTTAACATTTCGTTAGATGAGACTCATTGGTTATTAATATATAACATAATATGCAAGAGAATTTATAAATTTGTATGTATCTATTAACTAAATAATTCTAGAATTTAAATGTTAACTTAAACATAAGATAGGGACATGAAGGGTCCTACATCCTATTCAAACTATATCAGAGCAAATTAAAGCGATATTAAAACGCTGACAGTGCTATTTCCCACGAAATTTTAGATGCTTTTAACTGGTTGTGTCGTATTTAATAATTATATGATATTGTGAAAGTTGATATATTATAGTAAGTCAGATATTATTAACATACGTTTTAAAACTATTACCTCAAATTCGTAGAATTTATTTTACCATAAATACAAATACGCGTTATTTGTCATTGTGTCACAAAAAAAAAATTAATCTTTAAAATCTATCTGAAGTCATGAGTGCACACTCGAACTATGATTATATCAATGGACTTATGTTTATGCAAGTCCTGTACTTGGATGGTTTTCCATACGTAAATAATAAAATTGTACAAGTATTTTATTGCTTGCATTATAATATGATCATGATTCAAAATATCATAAACAAGTAGCATTTTTTCAAGTACAACTCAAAGTATACTCGTGTTCTACACTCATGAGTCAAGTATTCACGTCATATGTGTGTTAAAAGTCATTTAAACTTAAATTAAATGATTTCTAATGCGAAAAGTATGTATATATATAATATATATATTTATAAATTAAAAACAAATGAATATAAGTATATTATGTGTATTGTGTTTAGGTATTTATGAATGTAAAAAAAATATAAAAATATATATATATCATATAATATAAAATGATAAAAAAAAAACCACGAAAACGAACTTTCCTGTCGCATGCAATAACTATAAGACGACGGTATATAATAATATAATATAAAGGATAGAAATAAATATAAATTAAAAAAAAATCGTGTTTTGTGCCTGACATACAAAAGCTAACAGTAAAAAATGTGTGTGTGGTTTCTTAAGTCATTTTTTTTTTTTTTTTTTACCAAACATTATGCATAATAAACTATGGCTCACCTAAACTTTGTCGTGGGTGAGTCATCATATTATGGAAAGCCATTTCGTCATTCAACATCGGGTCACCTTTCAAGACATAAATTACCATAGCTCACAGTTTTAAGATTAAAATATATTTCGTAACACTAACATATTATACACAATCTGTACGTAGATATATTACGAAGTAAAAGGGATGAGCGTTGCCCGCGGATATTCGATTAAACCGCTGCAAAGCAATTGTCCGCGAAGATAATAATATTGTACTCTGTATTTTTGATAATATATTATACCGATTCGTTTAAGCACAAGGCGATTTATTTTGTTTCAAGAAATTTCATTCTGATGATGAACTATTTCCCTGGGAGTGTTCGATAAGAACTCGAATAAAGCGCATCAAGAAGTTTTTATTAACGGTGCTCAAAGGATAGTGTATAGTCGAAAATCGATACCGAAAGCTGCTCGATTTCTTAATTAAAAACAACAAAATTAAAATACGCCCTTCTTCGGGTCCCGTCGAATGAAAATAGTATACCTACTACAGCAAACGTTTACGGAATTAGTTTTTGCCAGACATCATACAATAATAATAATAATAATACAATATACAATTACTTTATTGTCTCGTATATATAAAACGAATTGTGTCAAAAGAAAAGATGATAATATATATATATATATATATATAGATACGGTGCACAATTAGATACGTTAAAACGAATATTATAATATAGGTAGGTATTATTGTAATAACATATGTTGTGTTTCGGTTACGCATAATATTATGTAATATATAGCTACGACAAAGGAACAAAATGTACAAAATGCGATATAAACAACACTATAATAATATAATCATACAAAATGTCTACAATGGGGTTTATAATTATTAAACGGTATTTTTTTTTTTCAAATATAATAATAATATTGTGTGTGTGTCATTAAACTAAATCAAAACAATCTGATCGAAACAATATTGTGTTTGTGATCTTTACACTGCGTTTTATTCATTGGCAACTAAACATAACTACTGATCAGGATCGTGGATATACATTTTATGTAGGTATATTATCTATAATATTATGAAATGCTTATGATATACACGTCAGTATTTCTTTGAGCCGACGGTCTCGACTAAACTTACGATCTAATTCTATTCAAAATGTTTACTACAATAGACATCGTTTAAGCAACCGAATGTAATTCAAGCCAGATGCATATCTGGCCTCACGGTACCCCGAATCATGTCAAAAGAGGTATAAACCTTCTCTTTCAACGTGAAATCACGTGTTTCCACCTAAAACTATTAAATCTCCTATAAAACGTTATTGTATACGCATTGTGCTCTGGAAAATACCGAAACCAACCACTATAATATAATTCTGTTGTATGCGAGTTTATAATATAAGTACATTTTCATTTTCAAGCAATTCGTTAGAATTTTGTTTTACTAATTAATTATTTTGACTGCGTAAAAGTACTTGGAATTTGCACGGTTTTCTTTTTATAATACCTAAATGGGATTTTATATAAGATTTAAATTAATAAACTCACTCGTTCCTACTTAAAAAAAAAAAATATATATTATATCCATTTAGTCTGATAAAATAACGAATGCTTGTAAATAAAATACGTTAGAATATAATGCATTTCAAAAATAATACAATGATGTGTCTGATAAACTAGGAATCTAAACAACATTTCATACGAAACTTTTTCTATAAATAACAAAACAAAATGTCAGATATATTTTTTTTTTTTACAAGTATACAACTGTTGGACTTTCTACATGTTTTTGACAACGTTGTAAGTTTGCACAAATACATTTTTGGGTTGGATTCACTGCGTCGTATATTATACGCCATAATGTCACATTATTAATGTACAAAGTTTGAACACGAAAAGAGAAAACGTGTTATCGGAGATATGATATTTAGAACATACAAATTATTATGCTCGCAATCGACGTTTAAAAATAATTTAAAAATATTATTTTATTACGTAACGTTTTGGCTCCATCCGACAATATTAAAAGACAGTTATGATAATATTATATTATATTTTATGCTGTGCAAGACTTTGATTAAACAAAATATACTGTTTGGACTATCGACATTTTGGAAACACAACAAATTGAGTGGGTACGTTACAGGAAATTGTATTCAATTATTGTTGTTATTATTATTATTGTTATTAATTTCAAAAGTTTGAAAAGCATTAAGTTTGTGAGGAAACTCGGTATTTAATTTTCAATCTTCCCTATCGATTACTATATATTATTATAATATTACAATGGTTGCGTAAATTATGCACATTTAAATGCGCTCACTTACCCAATGGTCGCTCTAAAGTTTTCGACGGGGTTCTGACGACCGGCAACGAGCTCCTTTGCTTGTTACCTCTTCGGAACCCGGTAGAACTGGTTTCCACTTCGGACATTATGCCTGGATCGTCATCGAACAGCATCCCAGTAGCCGGTGGATATCCTCCTCTGGACGCAGGAGACTGTGGACAACGGGAAGACGGGTTAGAATAAATGTTGATAGTAAAAATTTGGTGAAATATCACAATAACGGTCATATTATGACGCATCAATGTCTTAGGTATAATATCGAAACCGATTAACAATAATAATAATAATGAAAAAAGCGATTCGTATTACAAAACAAAATTACTCATCTGTTAAACTTTACGTGTCACTATTCAATTATAAATTATAATTAAAACTTATATGCGCATATGAGAATCGTGACGATCTGATCCCGGAACAAATATAACCACTTTAAACCTGACATACCGTGACTATCAGTGGCGGCGAAAAGTGAAAAACAAATCGACCAAAATATGCGTTAACTACTGCAGGCATGTATTTAAAAATAGATTGCAAAATAATGTGAATATATTTGCATACCTAGTATAATAACATAAAACCAAAATATTAATATAAATGTCAAAAATCTCAAAAGTCAAAAAGTAGAAAAAAAAACGTACAACATTATTACAATAATAGGTGCAATCAATGTTTAGCTTAGGCAACGTGTTTTCTTGGAATTTTATAAAAATCTAAAAATATCCAATTACAACATAAATGACTTGCTGCTGTTCACCGACCACCGTGCACTGAGAAATGCCCGATTTTGTACTTTGCCTATTGCGTTTGGTCGTAAGTCGTATTCTCAAGTTTTGTTATTTTTTTTTTCGAGTTTGACGCACTACTGACATAGTAGTCAAGACAAAGCGGATAAGCACCTCCGTACAAATATGACCATACTCAGATTTCCAAAATACGTGACGGATCAAAAGTAAAAAAACACGAAGCTTAATATATACTGCACATGCGAATTGTTGTTTTATAACATCGTTGTGGTAGACGGTAAGTACCTACCTACAAAACAGTCGTATAATATTGTTGTTGTATAGTATATTATTGTAACATAAAAACTAAAAAGGTTCGGAGTGGTATGTGTCGTTCAATTAGATTTAAAACTCCGAGGAATCGAAACAAAAATGGGTTTTTGGTATTTCAATCAAAAATACAATATTTAATTGGAATCACAGACCGTGTAAAAACACGAGACGCATGAAATGAGTTACAAAAGTTATCGAGACTGGTAAATTCTTTATCAATTATTATGTGTTTGGAATTAAATGTATTTAGAGGTTCAAAAAAAATTGATTAAAAATCAAATTCAGCCGAGTGAACAAAGAACGTTTAAAAAAAACCAACACTGAGTATGATTTAAACATAAAAAAATTTAATTAACTGAAGCATACAAAGCCGTTAAATGTAGTAAGTACATACAAACAGTCAACACTAGCTGTTGTCAAACACGTTTTGGTTGAGAAAATCGTATACTTAAAGTTTAACGAGAAAATTAATAATATTACTATACAAATATCCGTAATCATATACCAATGTTGGGCGACGACGACTTACTTTTTTCCGTTGCATTTTCGTTCCCATCTATAATAGCAGGGCACACCGCAAAGCAAACAAAACGGCGGCAATAAAACAACAACAAAACATTCATTTAGTTACGGTAAAAGCAATAGCACAATAATATACATTAATTATTATAATGGTGTATGTGTTTTTTTTTTTCATTTACGCGTGGTCGGCGCGGTCATAATAATAATAATAATATATTTAAGGGGGCCGGAGAGTGCAGATTAATTTTCGGTCGAAAACATAGCTCACGACTTCAATCACTACGCCCAATATAATGTTCTCATATTAATTTTTAAAGCATATTTGAATTCGTCACTAAAGTATATTATATGCTTTGAAAATTTAATTTTTGAGATTTTTATTTTTTTTACTTAGATATTTACAAACAATAAGTGTAATAATAGATCACAGTCATAATTAAAATTTAAATACATTGATATAGAATATAAAAAATGTACGACAGTTAAAGCATAGTAAATTTAGAGGAGAATTCGAATCTGCTTTCAATATTTAAATCGGAACATCCTACTGAGCGTAGTGATTGAAGTCACTGGCAGTATTTTTTGAAAAAAAAAAAAAAAGGTTTGAAATTTACATACACTAATGTTCATTTACTTTCAAGTTTCAACCCATTCCCAAGACCCGTAGAACTTGAAATATAAAATGCCTAGTTTTTACTCCTTAGAATGGATTACGCTCCAGCCCCCTTAATGACGAGGCTGTTGAATCGATAAACAATTCGACGTCGTATACACATGGTTGGATCTGCGTGCGCAGCCAAGTATAATATTAGTATATTGTGTTTAGATCGAAAAACGGAAAATTTAAGTTCGTCGGGCTTCTCACCTCCAAGTCCATGGACCTCGTCAGGGCCGGTTGATAGTTGTGATGTTGATCGCCGGACAGCGTGTGCCGCCGGGGATCGTCTCTCCTCGAAGACCGGCCGCGGCGGAGTTCGTCACCTGCAGAAAAATACAGACACATGAATGCAAACAATCTATCGTCACAGGTCCATAAACAAGTGAATATTTTTTGTGTTTATGGGTGGAGGTAAAATCAAAATATTGACGATACAAAATATAATATTATATTATTTTCATAATATTAATATTATGCATTTTATTATCATAATAATATCAATTATAACGATACATATCATTAACTATTAACTAGGTTAGTAATAATATAATCAAAAACAAAAATGTATTTAATTGCACCTATTTTAGTACACCACTGGAATAAGGTTTAATCTCAACGGGAATACACGAAGCTTGGACGAATTGTGTTGACACTCAAAATCGATAAACTGCACAGCTAGTCTTATACATATTACATTGGAAACCTATCGCCCGATTTCCATTGAAGGGTGTCAATAAACGAGTACACTGGTATAGTAAAGATAATTTTTAATAATAGTTTTGAACGAAATACTTATTATTTTCATAACCTACGATATTTTATGAGAACGATGAAATTGGAGAGCTTATCCGAGCTACTATCGGTCACGTACCTAAGTCCTAAATAACCTGTACATATAATGTTCAAATTTTTAAGTATTTAAACGAGGCGTGGTCGTAATAGATTGAAAATTATTATTTTATTACGATTGCTGCCCATATTATTTTTTAATAGTCATGTGCACTTTGGTAGTATTTCCTAGTTTCGTGCTAAGTCATCACATCGACGGAAAACCTATTAATTATATTTCTATTATATAAATAATTCCATACACAATACAGTGAGTATTTTCGCTGTTTGCGATTGGTTTGTATAATATTATTATAGTGCGTTACAATTCGCAAATTACAAACATTAAAGTCGATTAATATGCATATTGTCGATTTCATTGTATCTTGTCATAATCGATTATCAATTAGTCTTACGTCAGGCGTCTGAAGAAGATAAAACGTTCTCCAATGCAAAACGCCAGAATATATTATACTGCTCTCGATATAATATTTATGAAGCCGGTATAATTTGCGCTAAATGTCTTGAATATATTATATTTAAGTGAAAAACAGAACTATGGTACATTGGTACATATATTATAAAGATATGCGAAAACCCATAAAATATCGTATATCAACCAATACCTCGTAGTATATACACCAAAAGAAATAATTTTACGATAGCAGAAACCGTTAAGCAAATACGACATGATAAAAAAAAATACCTACTTAAAGTTAGACTTTTTTTACAGATATATGGAGTGTACATGTAGTATATACGTTACGTTACGTTTTATATGTATTTATACGAAACGTTTCAGAAAAAAAAAAATTAATAAAATCGTGAAATGTTGGGCAATAGCAAATTGGTATATTATATTATTAATTATTTTATTATAAAATGTTTCCATTTTGTAGTGAAGTGAACTGTATTTAATGCAACTAATCAAATTATATTATTTGTATCGCCAACACAGGCGTTATAAGATTTAAAGCACAAGTACAATATTCGTGAAAATGGTGTGTAGCGTAAATACAATTTTATGCCAAAAATATCAAATATTTTTATCAGGCTTTTACAATATACAATTTTTAATCCACAGCTTTAATAATAATATATTTTAACCGATGAAGTACAGTATACCTACCTACATTATATTAATATATTCTTGAATTTCCAATTAAAAGTTGGTTTAAATTTTAAAAACAATATTTAACTATTGTCTTAAATGTAAATATGCAAATATACTATAAAAATGTGAGTGCGCTTTACTTCATTTAAATCATAAATATTCATTTGGCTTAAAATAAATTTAAAAAATATAAAGATTATTATAAAATAATCAGCCATCGCCATTGAGTGGTAAAATAATTAAAAATATAATATTACCCTGTTAGTCTCTTTTGTCTTTGACTTTTTGTTATTAAAAACAAAAATAAACAAACATTATACCTAACAGTAATTTAAATAGTTATTAAGGTATATAGTGAGATTCTCATCGATACATGTTATAACTATGATAAACTATATTATAACTTAGGTATAACAGAGATATAATTTTTAACACGGCACTTTGTATAGGCAATTTTGATACACACCGTTGCTACATAGTTGTGCGGCTGCTGAGATAATATTATTTTTATTATAGCATAATAGTATAAATGCATAATATTATACACGCAGTACGTACCTATTTCATGTAAGATTAATAAAATGATAGTTTAGTCACGAATTCTTAAACCTGTATTTACATCTAAAACACAATATTTGAAAAAACGATTTTTAATTGCGTAAGTTTTTATATAAACCTTTAAGTATGTGTTAAATAAATTACAAAGTTTACAAAAATTATGACATTATTTTATTTTCCAACTATTCAAGATGGAATTGAATTATAAATAAAATATTTGTCATGTGGGACTTAGGTAGGTTAGGTACCTACTTTATGTTTAACAAAATCTGATACTGATAGTTACGGATCTGTATATATGAGTACCTACATAAACAAGAATATGTTTGAAGTCTAGAACAATTTGTTTACAATTTGAGTAAATATTAATATTTGGGTGGGAGAGGAAAAGTCCAACTCATAGGTGGAACAGGTAAGACATACGGGAAAGTACATATGGGGTGACATGGAAAAATTGTTGTAGAGTAAATTGGTACAAACAATATTTTACACACATAACGGAGTTAAGGCAGGTAAAAAACGAAAATATAAATGCACAGGTGATGACATCTGCCTAGTAAAATTAAAAAATTTAACGGATGAACAGGTGAAGTTGGGTTGTACAAATTATAAAAAACAATAACCTAACCGATTTATATAATAAAAGAAAATAATAGTTAATTATAGTTTGTTGTTCAAATGTACATCGAAATGCAATATCAGGTCGTATTAAAGACTCAACAACTTAAATACGGAATACCTGTCCTTCCCATATAAAACTTTCACACGAATTAAAAGAGCAGATGCATAAACGCCGATCCCTTACTGAGAGGGCGAAGAGAAATGCAATACTTTAGAGCGTGTGGATTTTACAATTAAAACTGTTTTTATGGTCAAATGTAGACCAATGGACCATATTATAGTATTAAATAATAGATATGATAGACACAATAAAACGCAGTTATAATATACTATACAATACAATATTATTGTCATATAACTTACACAATAGTTTTAATAGTTTTCGATGACAACTACGACGTGTCGGTATCGTTCGTCTCACTGGAGGCTATTATTTCCGTTGCTATCTCTATATATATATACTTATTAACAATACACAATATCGTTTATGAAGCTTCAGCAATTATTGCCAAACTATTACACAGTGGCCGAGTGGTGTACGATTTCAAGTAACTAATCCTCTTCATGATTTACCAACTACTATTCATTTCACCTGCGTTTACTTTGACAAATCCGTTTACATACTACGTGAATGCCTTTTGGGGCTATATAGTTATTCGTGTATGTTTATATACAGGTGATTATTTAAACTGTAAACACATTTCCTATTGAAAAGTACTGACATTAATAAAAACATTTATTTTGCATAACTATAAGATATTACAAGAAACTATATTTTTGACTAAATATTATTGTTATAATTTTTTAAGTGTTTGAATGACAACAACCACTTATAATTTCATAACTTATAAGTATTCAAAACGTAAATATATATTTACGTTTTACATTTCGGGGGGTATCCACGTGCCACTCCATTCTGTTCGTTAAAACTTAAAATAATTATAAATTGTTACTAGTTTAACTACCTACTCGTCAAGATTTGTATACAAATAATATTCAAAAAGAAATGTCTGCTTCGAGCATGAAATCAGAAAAGTATGTTGACATTCAAAAAAGTTAATAGTTACGAAAAAATAACCAAAAATAATTGAAAAATAGAAATTGTTTTGTCATGGTTTTAAATTTAAATTATGTAAAAATATATTTTCAAAAACTGTGATACTTTTCAAGATATTGATTGTTTAGTATTAAGTAGTTCGTCGAGTAAGTACCTATAACCTATGAATTTGGTCGGGTCACAAAGCTGAGTCAGTGAGTGGAACTAGAGTGCGAGGACTATTGAATAGTGGAGAGGGGACCTCGAGAGAGTAGGCACATTATAATATAATACTGTTTCGATTCGAACACTTAATTTATTATTCTGTAGATCTCGGTTATATTATATACCGAGACGCAGATTTTAGAATGCAAAACGCGATCCACCGTAAATGTATTATATATTTTTTTCGATTAGTCAAAATATTAAACTATTTTTTAGGAATTCGTTCACTTTTTATGAAATTTAAGGAACATTGTAAACCTAAAAAGGGCGTTTTATACGAAAAGACGTCTAAAAGATCCGCTTTCAGTTACGTCTAACGATTTAATCTTGAAACTGGAGCCCGTCATATTGAATGTCATCCAAATCCTTTCGACACAAATTTACTTTATACATTTCACCAACAGACGCGTGCATATAGATAGGAAAGAATGTATTACCGAAGAGGCGTAGAGCACGTTACTGTCTGTTAGACGCCATAACGAATTACGCACTTATTATATTTTTAAATACGATATAATATTACTGTAATCGCAGTTTTATTGACGGAGAACCATGTTTGCCGATTTACATGGTCTGGTGTTCGAAATATAATATTATATTATATACACTTAAATTCCAAACATCGCCGCAAGACACTTATATTTTGTGTAACGCGTGGAACGATAAAACTCGACCGCTGTGAAAATCAAGATTTATAATAAAATAATATAATACAATAAAGAATCGTACATCGCACTATAATTGTGGTTCTCGACTGTTTGTTATGTTTTATATGTTTAACGTCACTATACGTCAGTCTAGTCTCAAGAAACAATTTAATTCTATAGTCATACACAAACATTTGTCGTACACGGGTGCTAAACATGTATATTGTATATGGTGTTTCTGAATGTCGTTGTCAATTAAATTTTCATTTTAATTGAACGCTCGTGACCACCGTGGGTCTTTTCATCACCGCAACTGTA